GATTAGTCACACCTACAAGGGGAGGCTAAGGTGATATTTATATAGCAAAATTGGACCCAAAATTATATAGTAATGAGGTATTATGAAGAATCGCACACAAATATGCAGAGACACCAGCTTCGCAAAGCCAACAAGGTATTCAGAAATAGTAGAGGGGTTTATTGTTGAACAGCAACCTCTCCCAGAAAATCATCATCAAAACTCAAAAGAATCAACTCCCTCTATTCTTACATTTGCATCCTAAATTTCCCTATTCACCACAAAATATTTCTTAACGATGAGGACAGAAATAGAAAATGACACCTGAAACACTTCCAGCATTGGTCTCAATCATTGCTTCTTCGACCAAAAAACAAATGTACACCAGGTACCCTTCACCTAACCTGGCACTCACTCCCAAAACATAGCCATCATAGTCAAACAAAGCCACAAAATGCTGCAATGCAAATTAGTTGGACGAATTTCCTTATCACCCAACAAAGAATAAAGGTAACAATATCAACATCCTAGCATCTGCAATAGCGAGAGCGGAAACTATCCACTACCTAACAAGCATACATCAAACCAGACAAACAATAATATCAGCATCGCACAAGGCTGCATCATTGACTTATCATCAACTAAACAACAAATGTATAAATAAGCTATAAGATTACCATGCGGATTTACAATTCGATGCAAAATCTTAGATGTTACAGACAACCCCAACAAAGACCAATGAGCATGCTCACAAAAACTCCAAACAGATACAACAGGTAGCTCACTTTGATCCAAGTAGTTGTCAGACATGCTCCAAAATAATCCCTCCATCCCAAGTCCAATGATTTCTAGTGTTTGGTTTGAGGACAATTTACAGGAGGGAAAAGACATGTATCCCTCAATCAAACAATTAAATCACCAGTAATGCAAATAAATCCTCCCTATTCAGGTAACCAATGCCATATATGACAGCGTTATAATCGTGCCTATTCAGGTGGATTACACCAAATTTCCTTATATTTGTGGACAAAATCCAATTAGCTGCAGTAAAAATAGACAGCAGATTGACTTATTTGTGAAATAGACAACAATAACAGACTGCTAACAAAAGGTAAAACCAAAAGCTTCAGAAAATATGAGGCACACTTGAGACTTCAGTTAGTTGGCACTAAGAGCAGATTATGCTTCAGGGTAGGAAAGGACTGGAAGATAGCTATGATACACATACATAATTTATAATACAAATAAATTCAATTAATCTACAGGTAGTACCGTAGAAGCTCATGTAAAGTGCCTAGGGTCTGGACAACAACACGACGCCAAGGAACTTTACCAAAGTGTTTACAGGCTAGCATCAGCAGGCAATTTCAATATTAATTCATTAATAACAACTCAAAAGAATACAATATCAGTATAACAAATGGAAGTGCATATGCATATATAGTGTAAGAAAAGTAATGCAACAATCTAATCCTAAGAGTACAATGAAGAGGCAATCTAAAGCAGCATCCGTACCACAGCACCTGGTGTGATATACTCGTGTGCACCAATACTTACTCCTAAATATCATGTATCCTACAAGCTACAGGGAAATGGAAAGCAACAGCAAGCTCATAAGACCTAATAACACGCGATAAAGTGAAAGAACCACCACACATTAGAGTAAGTCCTGGATTTAGGATAGAGGCTAAATTCCATCACACGCACTGGAAATTGTCTAAGAAGATCGAGACATGAAGATCCACAATGCAAAGCTTTTTAAATAGAGTTGAAGATGAACAGTCAGCTTGAACGTATGCTAGCTAGACAGACGCCTAGACCCGAAAATCCAATACGTAACAGCTCCCATCAGTCAATGTCACAAGAACATAGGCTTAAGAGAACGCATCATTTGGAGGTAGTATAACTGCAGCCTGATTCCCAACCCAACCTATGAAGGTAATACAACATAAGCATGCCCTTAAAACAATGTCTACTGGTTAATTTCCTATGCAAAGCAGAGAACCCTAGGTTGATTCAGGTTATGGATGAGCACAGAAATACTGAGAAGTGGAGTACACAAAACAACAGTCAACATACATTTTTCCTATTGTTGCATTTAGATTATGTGATGAGCTCATGTACATCATGAAACGAACACCTAGTACCTGAGAGGCTACACTCGTCAAAGGCTAATGCTAAGCAAGAAGATTGCACTCATAAGATAAACTTGTGATAGGTTAGATGCAGCCTGCTTCCAGGCTTAAAGAGCAGAACTGCATCCAAATGATGAATATGAACAAATGCAAACCCTTGTCACTATGAAAACATGGTAGACCAGAAATTGTCACAAAGATGTACGCTATGCCTCTGCGCCATCTAGAGGCAACCGCAAATGCAGCCGGATCCCCAAATCCAGTTTATTAACATCAGTAACAACTGCAATCCCCATGAAGTTGATTCCAAATACCCTATTTGCATACTAACCCATCCACGCTGAATCCGGATCTTTGAGCAAACAACAGAAACTGAATAGAGGAAATTATTACACACCAAAAGAAATAGCTTTGCATATACTCTAGACAGTATTTTCCCTGCAACAAGCACCATTTCTTTTTCAACCCCAGCATCCCTCCCGCATCGCAGGCAAGCATACAACGGTGCATAAGAATAATACACCAGAACTGTTCGCCGCGGACTGGATCGGTATTACCATTCCCATCACTCCGTGGCAGACGACCCTCCCTTCATCCAACCCAGGAACCAAAAGCAGAGATGGCCGCGGTATCCGCCGCCCCCGCCAATCTATCGACACGACGACCTAGCGCCCTCGCCTTACACGCCATCGACACCCCCACACGGAACCGGATCCGCAGCGCGAACCCAGCGCGCCGGCGCCGACGGGTAGCCAGATCCGGTCGGCCAAGGAAACCGAAAGGGTTAGCTTTCTCTTCGAAACGCGAGCAGGCGCGTAGCGGTGCGGGATCAGGCGCCGGGAAAGGAAGTAAGGATCCGCGGCACGGTGGACGGGAGGGAGGGAGGGAGGGAGGGAGCTCACCGCGCCGGAGATGGAGGGGACCTGCGCCGCCGCCGAGAGGAAAGACACCGAGGGTAATTCGATCCGTGTGGGGTGGCGTTTTTGCGGGGACGCCCTTTAAAGGCCGCCTATTCGCGAGCGAGTGGCCGGTGCTGGTCTGGGCGTCTGCCGCTGACTATGACCGGCTCCAGCACAGTTTACGTATTGTAGACCTAGTTTACGTCTTCGGTGTTCGTTTGGCCGTGTACCGTGTTTAATGCCTACGGGTACCGCTCTATCCTTGGTCCTAAAAAGAAATGTCCTATAGTAGTTTTAGTAAAGTTAAAGCATCGTAATTTCACCAAATTTATAGAAAGTATTAATTAATATTTATGCACCAAATGCATATACTATGAAACTATATTACATGACAAAATGAGGGCTTTCTCCAGATCGGTTAGAGCTAGTTAGTAGATGGGGCTAAAGAGTATCCCACGACTAGTTGGCTAACAACTATAATCGAAGACTTAGCTAATTCAACCTACAAATTAGCTCCATGTTTGGAATAACTATGTCTTGTAACAACTAGCTAACAATTGGCCATACATATCCAGACGAGTATTGACCAGTGCTATGTTGATTGATTTTATTTAATTTAATTAAACTTATAGTAACTTAACTTTGAATATACTCATAAAGTACCTTTTTTAGATGGAGAGAGAGTATAAGCATAATACGTACACATCTATGCACTGCTTCAATAGGTCCACTCCACCTACCAAGTGGACCAGGGTAAACTCAAGGCAAAGATAGATACTCCCTCCATTTATAAGACATTCTGAATTTTCTATATACGTAACTTTTATTACGTGTCTAGATAAATATTAGTCAGAACATCTTATAATTTGGAATAAAATGAGTAATTGATTTCTTTGATGAGGAGTGAGAACATATGCTGAGGAGGGAACTCCTATAGCTATAGAACGTTTTGGAAGACAACTTTGAACTGAAGTCGAGTACCAAATGTGTTTGCATTGAATTTATATGAGCCTTATGGACCAAAAGGCCATTGCTCCACAAAGGCTCATCAGCTCATGCTAGGCGGCAAGGCTATCCACCCAATGCCATGCCCCCATGATAAGCTGAAACGAACTCCTATAAAAGGCAACCGCAGCCGAAACAAGGGGTGTCTTTTCTTTTGCTGGACTAGTGTGACGTGTGCCGGTGCGGTTGTGACTAGAGTGCAAGAGGTCCCGGCGTCAGTGTATTCACGGTGAAGTTGAGCCCCGGAGTCCGAAGATCGGTGCGGGTGTGCGCAGAATGATAAATTTTTTTCTAGAACCGAGAAACTAAATAAATGGTCAAAGTTGTATTTCAGAATATCACTTCTCACGAGGTGTTGGTGAATGTAAATGGTCAAAGTTGTATTTCAGAAAACTTGTATTATTTCCAAATATCACTTCTCACGTGTTGGTGAATGTGTTCTTCAAGCACTGAAGCGCGTGATTCTTGGCTTTCTATGACATAGTAAAGCTGACAAAAAGAAAATTATCAAGAGCCAAGACATCCTAACATCAAATGAATTTATTTGGGCCTGAGTTGCCTGATCTGCAATAAAAGAACCCGGCCTTTCTATTTTCTAAGCATTCAAGCGCCCCACGATTCCTGTGATTTGTTCGGCAAAGATGATGATAAAAAAAAATTCAAGTCTACTACTTCGACAAAAATTGGTCGCAGACCTACATTTCAAGAATGCTGCATTATTCTTGTCGTAGACATTTCAAGCAAATGTTACTATCTCAAACTTGTTTCCTTTACTAATAGTAATACCTTTACTGATAGGAGCCTTTCTTTGGGCATGAGAAACCTTCTACCTTCGTAATCATCCTATGATCGTCTCAGCCTGCTTTACAAGGAGCCTCTGCTGTAGGATCCATGGTATAGTTAATACAATAGTGTTGCTCAGTTGCCACTGCGCCTCCAAAACTGTGCTTTTTCTACATCAGACATGATTGTTGGAGGCACATCAAGTAGCGTAAGCTGGAAAATCATGTAGCTCATCCTGATCGGGGATGATGGAAATCTGCGCTTCTTTTGGAAGCGAGTCATCCTCCCCACTGGATTCTGCTTTAGCAGACAACTCATTGCAGTGGATGGAGAGGGTTCGTTTTTCTTGCTGGAACAACCTGCAAGCAAAACAAAGGTAGTGAGCTTAGGTACTGCAAAGATAGAAATTACTACTAGGAGAGTGCTAGCACTTACGGGTTTTTGCAAAGCATCGGACTTTGAATTGTTACAACATATTTGCATGAAGAGATTTCCTTGATTGAACTAATCAGTACAGTAGGCTCCGAGCAGACAAATCTAACCTGTAGAACAAAGGCGGGGTGTGCACAGTCAAATGCACTGACATGGTGATTATGTGCTTTACTTCGTAGATTTATGTTGTTTCTTTCTCACCTCTGTCTCCCGGGGAATATCTGTGAGATCACATACAGTCCCATTTGTATACAAGTGAACATGATACCTGAAACAAAGCAGGAACAGAATATATTCATTCAAGACTGAGGAACATATATTATGTTGTTTCTCTTCCCACATTCAGGAGAGTTCAGTACACCACCTCTTAGATATATCTTTCACGTGATGGTCATCGTCAGCTAACTCAGAGGTGCTATTTTCGTGGTATGCAGCAGTTGCGTCATCATCGAATTCTCCTAGAACAAATTCTTGGATAACCTTCAACCAAAGAAACACAGTTTACACAGCAATGCTGTAGCTCTAGCAACTTTTGATCGCATATGTGGTCATGTCAATAAAACTGGAGCTACGGTTACTATTATTCAAAGTAAAGGCAAAGTATATTCTTTTCTCCACATTGTAACTAAGTACAGAACTTGCTTCTCCATTTGAAGCTAGCAATTCTTGCACTGGAACATCCCGAGATTTGTTTGAGGTGATGGATAGACAGAAATCACAGAATAACAAAAATGTTAACTCTTACCTTCTCGTCATCTACATGGACCTGTCTGATTTTCCCATGATAACAGAACTCATATGACCACCAACCTTCATGCTGTGCCAAGATAAATAATAATCAGTTTTTTTTAGGCATTGCTTACCAGGCTCACATGTAACATGACTGAAAATACACTGTGCATACCCATGCATAAAGAAAGAATTGTATGCTCACCCTGTAGAAACACTGATCCTTGAGAACCTCAAGTAACTCATCTGGCTCCTTGGGCCTAATTCTCCTTTCACTTTCTATTATAACATTAGTTGCATTTTGTGGGAGCATTGACTTCATGGTTTTAGTTTCTTCAACTGGTAGAAAGCACTTATAACGTTTCCCCTCATGATTAGCCATTGGTACCGATTCCAGACCATTCTCCTGTTGAATACACCACAATCATCTCTAGTTAGGATAAAAGGGATTATGTTTGAAATATGCCAAGCAATAATCTCCAGAGCAAAATTGTAAAATGGAAATTCAAATGCATTTTTTTCCTGAAAGCGTGAAATCTATATCTATATCTCTTATAAAGCTAAACCCCACTAACAAGTTTTGTCTCAACATGCAAGACATCCACATCATTTCCCACTACCTATCCACATCACCTCCCACTAATAACCATGTCATCCCACTAATTTTCAATCTCTTAATGCAAGTTGTTCACACCATCTCCACTAAGCACAATTTAATTTCAACATATAAGAAATATAGAGGCATCCATATATTACTATTTGTTTTAACATTCCATCGTCTTATAATTCGATCCAATTCTGTTGGTTTTTTATAGGATTCTTTCCTTGCCTTCTCTATAATTTTGGTAAGAATGGATGTAAGAATATATAGGTTTAATTCATACATGCAAGAATTTTTTATTTCTAAGAAAGTTCCGCAGCAACGCGCGGGGTATCCTTCTAGTTGACACGATTTAGCATAAATAAACATGGTACGTTCGCATTGCCTGATTTATAGTCGATTATCTTTCGCAGCCAATGACAACTGTTGTTGTGGGCGCTCCCCAGCGGCGTAGAGGCAGCGACGCCTGCGTCAGCGTCGCCCAAGAACGGGAGCGGAGAGATTGAACTCAATCTCCACCTAGCTTCTCATTAACCAACGTGTTTAGGCTTTATAGCTGTGAAGCCTAACAACCGGAGACTACGCCTAACAAACCGAGCTAACAAATGCCTAATCAAAGATCCTAAAGAATAGGCAGGCGCGCATTGAAGCGCGGTGACCACGCACATCCCGCTGGCGTCTCGCGCATGCTACTCCTTAGCCACTACTATGCTTCGTCTGTAGGTAATCATTGCCGTACATAACACTTCTCCCCTCGACAAACTCGTCGCCCTCGAAAGTTGAAAGCAAGGGTGCGCCGCATGGAACGTCTCGACGGGCTCCCATGGTGTGTCGGCCTCGGACATACCAAGCACTTGAAAGCGGCGAAATAGAACGGTTGCAGAACGCCCACTAGGACGCTCATCGTTGATGCGGGCACACCGCAAGGGGCTAGAGGTGGTAGCCACTGCGTCCATGCATGTGAAGTTGTGGTCTTGCCTTGCATACCTGTGGACCCACCGACCACGGGAGCTTGCCACCCGAAGACGGACGGAGGCGATGGAACAGAGAGGCCATACGCAGCACCCCGAGAGGCTCAGCTCACGGTGGTGCATGTCGAGTGCGACGAGACGAAGCACAGTCATGGGAAGACGCGCACACACCACCGCGAGGGGTTTGTCTTGACCGTGGTCGGTGCACCGATCGATGGAGGAGCTGGGCCCTCGGTGGACGACCTTGTGTGCGGCCGTGCAGCGCCCGCCTGCGGACTGGAAGGCGGGGTCAACAAGCGCAGCACGAAGACATTCGCCAGAGGATGAGGCGCCACGACGAGACAAGGGGCGCCCGACGGTCGGTGTTGAGGGCCTTGTGGATTTGGGGGGCCCGACTTGGCGCAATTTCGGCGGACCACGAAAAAGGGGACCTCGAGAAGCGACCGCTAATATTTCGTGGCTGCCATGGCGGAACAAACCATCCGCCATCCGTGTTGAGGCGGCTGGTCGGAATACCCTGGCACGAGTCGGATTTGTCGGGAAACGAGATGGAAGCTTGATCAATCAAGGAGGTCGCCATCGTGGAGGCCTCCGTCATTCCCCTCAATGTACAGAGCTGCGGATGAATACACGGACGAGCCGCTTGTCGACGCCGACGAAGAAATCAGCGGAGGCTCTGCGGTAGTCATGCCTCGGGGGGCGTCGTGGCCGGTCGTGTGGGTGAATTTGCAGGATCGTGGCCGCAGTGGGTGAGCTGCAGGATCGCGGGCCGACGTCGGTTGAACAGCAGGACCGACACAAAAGCGTCGCAGGCCATCCACGACGCACGGCGGCTCACCACCGGGCAAAGCGATGTGAATGTGTCGCGGAGGGTCCGAGAGGTTGGCGGTGTTGGATATCACGACGGATGTCCCGAAGAGGTTGATGAAGGAGGGTGTCGACGGTGCGCGCTCTGATCTCTTTGCGAGACCGCGCTGCCGCGCGACCAAAATGGGGCGATCAAGTCGTCTTTGGTGCGGCGTCGCGCCTGCAATTTGAACGCCGGGTGTGGCGAGCCCAAGCCCGCCATAGACAATGCCCTCCCGCAAAAAGGCTATCAGAGTCGTCGAAGTCCCATAGAATCGGCCCGTTGCGGAGGAAAGTGGCGGCGAGGACCATGTCAGAGTGATCGAGCGGAACGGAGTAACGATCGATGGAGAACAACTCCGCCCGAGGCGGATGGCGGCGTCGTCATGAAGCCTGGCGAGCCGGTCGGCCACCATTGGCCACAAAGTGATGGAGTGGAATGCGAGGCCACCCGAGCGATAACAGGATGGATCTTAACCGCATAGTCTCCTCCCGGCGGAAGCACCGGGGTGTTCACTAACTTTGAGCTCTCGGTCAATCTGGCGTCATCTGGATCGATGACCTCGAGATAAGAGGCGTTGGCACTTGTGGTCGTGGAAATTCGTCACGGCTATATACATGAGCCCGGCGGCGGCATTCCGCGAGCTCCGCAGAGGATGCACAACGGAACAGGCGCGGTGGTGGTGGCAATGCCGCGAGATCGCCCAGGTCATCCAGCCGGGAGGCGTGACGGTTGGTGGCGAAGAGAACGAACCGCCGGCTTGTTGGTGCAAACACCTTGTTTCGATGGTGGTCGCGACACTGGCCGTCGCTCTGTCGCGCGCCAAGCTCATAATACGAGGATCCTCAATCGGCGACGCGGACATGAAGAGAGATACTGGTGGGAAGGTGCGCTTCTTTGGTGTGGCGAAGTCTGGTAGCAGACGCCAATGAGCGGAACGACCTCTGGACCTCATCGACGGTTGACCAACGCCCAACTCGTTTCAAGGCACAACACCTTGAAGATGTCCCGGTGAAGGCGCCCACATCCCGGCATCTGGTCCATTGGGTGACCCCGTCGATGGAAGGAAGTTACCAGACCTGTCGCGGTCCATGGTCCGCTGCAGGTGGAAAAATTGGTCGCACCGGTTCAGCCAGCCTGAGGGATCTTCGACGCCGTCAAATGTGGGGAAGGAGAGCTTGAGGATCCCTAGGACCATTGGTGCTTGGCAAAAGCGCCGGTGGTGGGTCCGGTTCTCCTTGCGAGAGCGAGTATCTAGATAAATCCATCTAGCGCTAGATTTCATGAGATTGTCGAGACCACCGGGATTGTTGTGGCGGGAACATGTAAGAATGGAGATATATGGCGGCGATGATGGTTTAATGGGCGGCGTAAACGGAAGTAGGCTCGATGCATATCCGATACCGAGATGTTTTAGCGCGATCGGGTAGGGAATTCAGAGAGAAGGTTGGTGGCGAGAGGTGGTGCGGCGCAAATGACGCGCGTGTTTCTGGTATACTTAACGAGGCGGGAGAGATTGAACTCAATCTCCAAATAGCTTCTCATTAACCAACGTGTTTAGGCTTTATAGCCCAAGCCTAACAACCAGAGACTACGCCTAACAAATCGGCTAGCTAACAAAGCTGACTAATCAAAGATCCTAAAGAATAGGAACACCGAGACTACGCCTAACAAACCGAAAGCTAACAAACTGACTAATCAAAGATCCTAAATAGGAACGGCGCCCATTGCCATGAAATGCGCGTGTGACCACGCACATTGCATGCTACTCCTTAGCCACTGCTATGCTTCGTCCGTAGGTAATCGTTGCCGTACATAACAACTGTGGTAAAGTCAAGAATAATTTATATTTATATATATAAGCATTCGCAAATTGCCGGTAAACTTTAAGTAGTTTCAATTACAGTTCACTAGAACTTAATACCCATACAACCAGTCGAGCACACATAACCAGCAATGAAATTGAGTAAGAACAAAAGAAAGCTCTTGCTTTGTTACAAACAAGGATCGGAAGGACAAATCCGTTAGAAATCTTACTGGAAGGAATGGCGAATCAACAGGATGGAATTCGACGCGGTACCTTGGCTCACGTGAACTCCGCCCAAATGTCACACCTGACAATCAACACCCAGTTAAGCTCGCTTCCAGCGCATATCAGTGTTGAACAAAAAGGAAACCTAAGAGTGAGCAAGACTATCAAAGCAGTCCTCGATCCATATGCGCACTTAAAGGCAAAGACTTTTCAACCACAGTACTACAGGCCGGCAGGCCGCTAGATCTGTGCAAGAATTTATATAGTATATGGGTACTAGCCACTAGGTTACCACCAACATGAACCTACAGCCTTTAGATTTTCGATTCGACAAGAGAAGCCATCAAGAGACATCGACAAAGCGGTGGATTCATTGGCTTTTGGGGCCGACAATGCTGAGAGGGTGGTGGAATTCAATGGGGCCGGTGAGATCCAGCGCAGCCCCGCGGCGCTCACCTGAAGTGGTGAAGATCTGGTCATTTGCTACAGCGCCGGTGACCAGGATGAAGAACAGCACGGATACCCGGCTGGCAAAGCCCATCAGAGACGGCAGGTGGGTCTTCGCACCTCGCTTCGAGACCCCTTCCGTGGCGACTTCACGTAGTGTCAGTGTATTCAAGGTGAAGTTAAGCCCTGGAGTCCAAAGATCGGTGCGGGCATGCACAGAACCTAGAATGATCTACAAAGTGCAAAGTTATTGTGTTTACAGGTTAGCATCAGCAGGCAATTTCAATATTAAGTCATTAATAACACCTCAAAAGAATACAATGCCATAGCTGATAGTTCAGTATACAAATGGAAGTTCAGACGCATATATAGTGCAACAAAAGCAATGAGATAATCTAATCCTAAGAGAACAATGAAGGGGCAATCTAAAGCAGCATCTGTACCACAGCACCAGGTGTGATGTACTCATGTACACCAATGCTTAGTCCTAAATATAATGTATCCAAGAAGCTACATGGAAATGGACAGCAACAGCAAGCTGATAAAACCTTCTAATAACATGTGAGAAAGTGAAAGTCTCCACACATTGGAGTAAGTCCTGGATTTAGGATAGAGGCTAAATTCCATCACACGCACTGGAAATTGTCTAAGAAGATTAAGACATGAAGACCCACATTGCAAAGCTTTAAACATAGAGTTGAAGATGAACAGTCAACTTGAACGTATGGTAGCTAGACCAGAAAAACTAATACGTAATATCCCCATCAGTCGATGTCACAGTAACATTGGCTTAGAGTATGCATCATTTGGAGGTACCAAGTTAGTATCAAATGCAGCCAGATTCCCAACCCGACCTATGAAGGTAATAATAAAGGAGCGTGTTAATCCGCGACGGGTCGCGCTCTAGGGGAGTACGCGACCCCGTCCTGTTCTTCTTCCTTGCCGTCTGCTCCAACCTCGTCATCTTCCTAGGCCCTGCCCACCCACCCCCGCCTTCCTCGCCCACCGCCTCGGCCAGCGGCACCCTCGCCGCCTGCCGCCCTGTCCACCACCACCCCACCACCCCGCCTCCACTAAACTCAGTCGGAGGAGGTAGGCACGAGACCCTCGCCTCCGCCGCGAGCTCTTCCCAACCGGTTGTCTCCCACTCCAACCGCCGGCTCGGTGGCACCCCTGCCGCCTCGCTCGCCGCCCTCAACCCGCCACCACCACTGGCCCCCCTCCCCCTTCTAAGGCTGCCGGACATGGAGCCCCCTAAAACCCAAAACCCTAACTCCAGCGAGCTCGTCTCCGGCGACAGTGGCGGCGCTCATGGGCCGTGGGGGTGCACGCTCCACGTGACCCATCGCTTGATAGATTTTGTGAATAATAAAACAAAAAACATGCCCTTAAAACCATGTCTACTAGTTGCTTTCCTATGCAAAGAAGAAAATCTTGGTTCATTCAAGTCATGGATAAACATAGAAATACCGAGTAGTTTAGAACACATAACAACAGTCAATGTACATTTTTCCTATTGCTGCACTTAGATTATGTGATGTGCATGTACATCATGAAACGGACACCTAGTACCTGATAGGCTAAAGGAGCTGAACAACATCCAAATCACGAATATGAACAATGCAAAACCTTTGTCCACATGAAAACATGGTAGACCAGAAAATGTCACAAAGATGTAGGTTATGCCTTTGCGCCATCTAGAGGCAACGGCAAATGCAGCCGGATCCCCAATGCATCCAATTTTTAACATCAGTAACGACTGCAACCCCCAGGAACCAGAAGCAGAGACAGCAGCCGCATCCGGTACCCTCGCCAAGCTATCGACACGACGACCTAGCCCCCTCGCCTTACACGCCCTCGACACCCGCACCGAAACAGATCCGCCGCGCGAACTCTGCGCGCCGGGCGCCGAGGGGGAGCCAGATCCGGATGGCCAAGAAAACCGAAAGGGTTGCGTTTTTCTTCAAAACGCGAGCAGGCGCGTAGCGTTGTAGGATCAGGCACCGGGGAAAGGAAGTAAGGATCCGGGGTACGGTGGAAGGGGAGGGGAACTCACCGCGACGGAGATGGAGGCGGACCTGCGCCGCCGCCTATTCTCGAGCGTGTCGCCGGTGGGTGGTCTGTGGGCGTCTGGCGCTGGCTCTGACTGCTCCCGACCAGTTTACGTCTTCGATGTACAGTTTTACGTCTTCGGTGGTACCTTGCGTGTGTTGTAGGGATTCGGAGTCAAATATGGAAATTTAATTTTAAGTATTCAATATAATATATATATTAAAATGTCCAAATTCGTATAGGAATTATCCAAGACTCTTTAATGATGGACAGATATCAAAAAATATTCGTCGCATTTTCATCTCTAGTTGTAGGAGTTTTTTTTTTTTTTGAACCGGGGGAAGTTGTAGGAGTATATGTTTATGACTTCGCTCTCTTTGTCCTAAAAAGAAATACCTTATAATTTTAGTAAAATCAAACTATTATAAGTTTAACTGAATTTATAAATGTATTAGTATTTATACATCAAATAGGTATATTACATGGTAAATTAAATTTACTAATTTGATAATTTTTTCTATAAATTTAGTCTAACTTACAACCATTTAACTTTACTAAATCTATAAGATATTCTTTCTAGAGGAAGAGAGTTACACCTTTGTGCGCGGCTTCGGCGTTGCACAGGTAGACTCATGTCAACGATAGAAAATCGATTTCTTTGATGAGGAATGAAGACATATGCTGAGGAGGGAACTCCTATAGCTATCGAACGTTTTGAAGATAACCTACGGTTGGATTAGTTAACACTAGTTAATAGTTGAGGCTAAAAGTTAGATCAGATTACCTGAGATTGACTAATCAGTTGGCTAATAACTGCTCTCTCCGTTCTGAAATATAGTGCGGTATGACTTCTAAATTTTGTACTAAAATATAGTGCATTCTATGCGGTTCCCATGTTCATATTTGCCAAAGTTTATTGAAAAGGAAATTGTATTTTAAGAAAAAAAATTGTTTAATTAGGACAATCGATGGATACATGTGCCATTTGAGTATTCCCTTAAATTATCTTAAAATTTTAGAGTGCATTATATTATAAGACAGGAGTAGTCGTAGACTTGACTAACCATTAATCCAAGACATCTAAACAAGACCTTAAACCGAAGTCGAGTACCAATATGTTTGCATTGAATTTACGAGTCTTATGGATCAAAAGTCATTTGCTTCTCCACAGGGCTCACCAGCTCAAAATGTTAAGCTCAAACGAACTCCAATAAAAGGCACCCAAACCCATAGCGGAACACTGTGGGTCTTTCTTTTGCTCGATTAGTGTAACATGGTGCGAGTGCGATCGTGTTTAGTTCCAGCGATAAATTTTACATATTATAAATTATGTTGTTAAACCGGATTAGCATCAAAGGGCATTTGGTCTAGTGGTATGATTCTCGCTTAGGGTGCGAGAGGTCCCGAGTTCAATTCTCGGAATGCCCCATGTTTTTCATAGCTTTTTAAGCTTTTTTTTTAATTTAATTTCCCCATTACCTGCAATAGGTATTTCATGGTTACCCTTCCAACATTGAGCTCTATGAACGGATGAAAACGAGAATTGCCCCCATACTATTTTTTTAAATTTTTTTATTTCCCTTTCCAACCTTGAGCTCTATGAACGGATGAACAAACAACTTACAAAAACTTATTCTGCTGATTAACCGAGCTCTATGAACGGATGAACAAACAACTTACAAAAACTTATTCTGCTCTTTATTATATAATATATGAAAAAAGGCACGTCCAGTATCTACAACAAACCATCCTTTTTCTCAAACAACTAAAAACAGAACACGCATTGTGGGATAACAATAACATCCGTACCTCTAATCACAGGTTCAGTAAAAGATCTTCAAACATCTCTACCCACAATTCTACATGTAGATATCCATTTCTATACATTTGCAGGCAGACCCTTATAACCCTTATTGCATCCTTTAGAACTCAAGTGTACACATCATCATGGTGACTCATCATGCCTTATTTCCAGCCATAGATGCCAATGGCAACGACACAAACTCACACCATCATGTTTCCGGAGTCCTATCAAGCATTTCCTTGGACGGCCTTGTAGCATTTGAGGCTGCAGAGGGGGAGGTTCAGTTTGGAGTGCCTGTACTTGTAATCGTTCGTGCACGACGGCCCAGCGCATTTCTCCCGTAGAGGAGGGTAGCTGCTCGTTGCCACAAAGAGAGTAGTAGATGAGATGCCGTAAAGTCATGGCTTTAGCACAATTTTGGGGGACAAGCATGCAAAGGATTAAGGATGTGAGGATGACCTGTGAGGCTTGGAGTCGAAGATGCTGGGGAGGCCTACTGCATGTGGAAATGAAATAATGGTTCCGGTGGGCCCCATGACCCAGCGGACTGAGTTTGCAGCGATGTTTTGTGCTCTGGTAGCTCGCTCCTGTATTAAGAAAATGATTTGCTCAGCAAGGTGGTACTGCTAGTATTATAGAACACCAATGGGCACAACAGAGCAAAACCAAATGATGCATCGAACCTTCTCTTCTCGCTCCTTTTGCTTCCTCTCTTCTTTCTTCTTGTCAGAGTCCATGCCCAATATTTTCCTTATAGCTTCTACCTGCAGAGATCAAACATAGTTGATGACTCCTGGAAACCGAAACATGTCAAATATTGATTGAAAAGGTGAGAAAAGATTTCTCTCCTACCTCACTTTCTTTAGTGGCTTTTTCCACTTGCATCCTGCGTCGCTGAGCAGCTTCTGCCTTCTTTGCAAGCATTTCCTCTTCAGAAAGCTTGTCCTTCTTGCCTGGTGCAACAGAAATATGTTTCAAATGCATTTAGCAGAAGAACCAAGTTTGATGTTCTAATCAAATTGAACTGCACAAAACGACGGCAAAGGATAGTATGTACTTCTCGAAGGAGCTGGAGGTAGACCATCAGGGAACTCAACAGTACTGTTGCTGCTTCCATCCATCCATGATTGAAGGGCACGGCGACGTGTTGTGAGAGGTTCACTTCTGACATTGACAGGTGATTCAATCGCTGTTTTTTGTTCGGTGTCTTCGACGTCAGGCTCACTATCTGAGGTTGGTTCTTCTTCAGTATTATCATCATCAGCTGATTCTCTAGATCTTTTCTTGCCAGTTCGGGAAGTAACAAAACCATTATCAGCCTCATACACCTTGCTCCTATTTTTCCCTTTCTTTGAGGCACTCTTCTTAGAGCTATTTCCTTTGCTCTTAGGCTCACGAGTACCATCCCAATCTTCAGGAGTTCCAAGATTGCTTGTATCATAGTCCTCATCAAACTCATTGTCCACAGATTTCTTAGCAAGCCTCCTACTCTTCCGGACAGGATCTGAAGAAGGTTCTCTCTGAACTTTGCCTGCTTGCTCCTGCGCCATTGTTTCTTCAATTGACCTCTCTTTTCGGGCTTTCTTGTCTCGTGAAGAGGTTGACCTGTCAGAATCTTTTGCACCTTCAGTCTACAAGCAGTTCACCCTTTCGAGTCAGTTGCCAATTGTGTATAGCATCTTGAAGTAAACAAAATGAGATATTTGCAAAGGACACATATTCTTGCTATAAGCCTAGAATATTGAGGAAAATATCTGCAAGTCTGTCTTTGTGTTATCAAAATCAGCTAGTTTTCCATTTCATTATCTAAAAATAAAGGTAGTTTTCCATTTGATTTCAAAAGGTGGCTAGTCTTCTCCCAGAACTAAATTATGTGGCGATTTGGTGCAAATGAAAGTACAATACAAGATGAAAACACAATTCAAAGCACTCACCAGATGGCCATGCTTTTGCTGGTGCCTCGAATCTACAGGCCGTGGAGGCTTCGTAGGCGGCGTATCAGGGTTCGGTTTCGGTAAGACGTTACGAATCTTGAGCTTCACCTTCCCCAGCTTCTCACCGGCCGTCGACGAACCGCGGTTCCCCTCAGGGGCATGCGCACCATGGCTGCTGTTACCCTCGCTCTTCCTGGAGCCACCGGCCGCGGCCTCGGACCGGAGCCGGATGCTGCCCTTGGTCGCGCGCTCCGGCGACGGAGCTTTGAGGAGGAACTCACGCCCACGGTTGCCCCCATCGGGGCCGGTGGCGTTCTCGTCCGAAGTCAACAGCAGCCTCCTCGGCCCGCTCCTGGACGACGCCGACGGAGACGGAGGGGAGGCGTTGCCCCGCTGCTCCGCGGCAGGGCCGCCCTCCGGTCTCGGCCGCCTCGCCGCGCTGCTCCGCCGCCTCTTCATGTGTGCCGCGTCGAATCCGGAGCCCTCGCCCGCGCCTTCCATCTGACCGGAATCTGGACGCGAGGGGAAAGGGGGAGACACCGTGAGTTCGTTGGCCACCAAATTCGTCGGACGAAAATACTGCAGAGCGTGTTAACCCTCCGTACTAATAAAACGTAGTCGTTTTGACAGCGACGCGATGGCATAATTTTGACTACTTATTTTTATAAAAATATTTATTAAAAAATGATATATGTAATTTTTTGTAAAAGTATTTTTAAGATAATTTTATACATATGATTTTCACATTTTCAAATTCACCAACTTAAAAGTTATTCATGATTTATATTTCAATGTTTAATCCAAGCCTTGTTCAAAATGACTCCATTTTTTTTAAGTATAGAGGAAGTAGAATGTAGATTAGAAACCCGGATTTGGAAAAGAGCGAACCTGAGACGAGTAGGGTAAGGGAAGGATCCGAGACACTCCGACGAGGGCTACGTGACCTCTGTGGGATTTTTAACTTTTTGTCATCTTTACGGATGACACTCCTTCGTTTGCTAGCTTTGTGCGCGTCTCTGCACATTTGTCATCACAAACAGTAACCCTCCTATGTTTTTATCATTTTTGCTGAGGTGGCACGGCAGATGAGCACGCCAGCGTGACAGGGAGCCTAGGAGCTCTAACTTGGCATGCGAAATGACCATGCTGCACTTGCCTCGTTCTTCTGTCTCCAGCCGGCCCAGCCCCGAGTCAAACCCAGTCCACTCCCCCTTCTTCCCCACTGGAGCAGTCGCATCCATTCTCCCCCCTCTCACCCATTCTCTTCCCCGGTGACGGCGACGGCTGATCCTCATCCCCCCGTGCACCCCATGGCTCGGAGGATGGAGCCCTCTTCATCAAGGAGCATGGCGTCATGGGCTATCGAGGAGGAAGATGCCGGAAAGGAGACTGGGCTCCCGCTGATCGTGTGTCCCACATGCAAGAGAGAGGGTAATCGAGCTGATAGTGAGGACAATGGAGAATGGTAACCAGGGGCGCGTGTTCTTCAAGTGTCCCAGAAATGTGCCCAGGGTAAGAGTTTTCCTTGATCCATTTTAAATTTTTCTTGGTTTTGGTTTTGGGTTTAGGTTTGGTTGAAGAACCCTAACTGTTGGGCATTTTGTAGATGACCGATAGATATAGGTTCTATGAATTCCAGAAAGCGTACTTGAAGAAGCTGGTGGAGTTGAAGTTTATTGTCATAGATCTTGAAGCTGGCCTGGGTGCAGAAGAAGTAGAAAAAGTTTGGGGATTTGGTGAAGAAAAAGCACAGTCAAAGTGTGCTGGGAAGAACAGCATGGAAGCCAAGATGGATGCCCTGATTTCTTTGCTTAAGATGTTGATTTTAGTGTTATTTGTTGTATGCATTGTTGCCATAATGTATGTGTTCAAGTGAATGGTTGTTCTCAGTAATAGAAAAATGTATGCTGAACATGTTAATGCAATGAAAATGCTATCTTATTGTGTTGCCTATTGTATGTTGTATCAAATGGTTCTTTTGTCATGACAATAGCCAAAAAATTCCATGACAGCCAACAAGATGATGAAATTGATAGAAATTTACATACCAAGCTAATCCATTATTAGGTTCAGTAGTTGCCATACACAACTGGTCCATACATAACATGTCCATACTAGCAATGACAACCATAAATTACAGGTCTATACTGACACATGAGAGCCATACATAACAGGTCCATCACATACATAACATATCCATAACAGTCATACATAATTGGTCATAGGAGTTCCTGTCTCCAAAATACATACAAAAGAACAGCCATTCAAACAGTGGTTATGCCTTAGTTGCTAGCCTTCTTCACCTTAGTAGCTAGCTGTTTCTTTCTTGGGGTCATTTTTTTTGGCTGGTTGCACTACTGCAGCTTCATCTGCTGGTACTATCTCTAGTAGCACTAGTTCATCCAAGTCTAGCCTCCTACAGGTGAATAACTAGTTAGTTGCTCGTGCATCTCACAGTACATTTGTGGCTAGTTGATGTAAATGGAAGCAACAAACCTTTTGCTACCTGGTGCTTGATCCACCTGCACTGTTGATCCTTGCATAGTTTGGCCTACAACTCCTTCATGTGCTTGCTTAGCTATTGCCTCCCTTGCTGTTGCTGCTCTAGTCCTTGGTGTCCTTGGTGTTGTTGTAGGTTCCTTTGTTGCTACCTCTCTGTCGGTGTTTTTGGACCACCGACGAGTAAATTTGTATTTACGCGTCTAGCTCGGATGGTGTGCTTGGAGGACACAAGGGTTTATACTGGTGAAAGGTCCTTGTTTGGTTTTGGTAATTGAGTAACAACCTAGGTGGACTAATTGTGTTTATGTGAGATACACAGGTAATTAGTCCATAGGTACATGTGTGTGAGCAACATATGCCATGAAGGTGAAAATGGCTTAGAGATGTTGCAAAGCTCACACATGTGATGATGAAGGAGCTTAACACACATGAGACATGACATTGAGTCATGTGATCAAGGTGGAGAAGATCAAGACAAGACTTGGCTTGATGGACCAGTTGCAAGCGTGAAGGGCAAGTCGAAGACTTTGGAGTGATGGACCGGCGTGGCGGTGAAGCTTGAGCAAGACTTGGCGCGCCGATGGACGATGGCAGCGGTGAAGGGCAAGTGAAGTCAAGATCGATGAACCAATATGATCACGTGATGATATGAAGTGGATCATATCATTGTTGATCGTGTTTGTGCATGTGTTGCATCGACATTGGAGGAGATGGAATGGAATGCAAGGCAAAGGTATAACCTAGGGCATTTCATTTCACCGGTCATAGGTGTGTATAGAGAAGTATATGACGGGTTTAGGATAGATGGGCCGTACTATCAAGAGGGCAAACTTGTTTGCATATCGGTCATCTAGTGCCACTCGAGTGATCTAACTTTGCATCGTCGCTATGATCGAGTGGGCGTGGCAAGTTGAGTGGCTAACATCCTTTGGGAAATGATTGTGAAAAGCTAACACACATACACATGGTGGTGTACACTTGGTGGTGTTGGGACATTTACAAAGGAGGTGGTGTTTGCGAGGGTTGAGATGGGTTTGGGTCCGCAAGCTTTCGGTGGGATTAGCGCTTTCGGAAAAATGGAATGCCTATTTTCTATTGGTGGGATGTAAATTCTTGTGGTTGGCACATTGGAGCAAGGGTGAAGAAGTTAGAAGTGAAAACGAGTTGAATGAAGACGCCTGGCGTCGGTCAATGTTTTGGCTGGTCTGAAAGCACCGGACGTTGGCGTGGTGCGCGTTGGTCAGCCGACGACGGTGACGTTAGAGTGGAGTGTGACCGGACATCGGGCTGCGTCCGAGACGTCGGCGACGGACGCGTCCGATCAAAAAATACGCCTGGTAATTTTATGAAGCGACCGAGACCGGGGTCCAGCGTCCGTCGATTGAAGTCTTCTCTGCGTCCGGGTCAGTCAAGTGACCGTTGGAATCAAGACACATGGCCATCATCAGGCGGACGGACGAGAGGTCGGCGTCCGTCAACACGACCGAGAGCGTCCGGTTGGCCCGATTTTTGCCTTGATGAAGGGGTAGCGGCTAGTTTAGCCCTTGGGGCTATAAATAGAAGTGGCCTTCACCATGGTGTTGTTGAGCACCTAAGGGACTTAGTGTCCATGCTTGTGAGTGCTTGGGAGCCCTCTATCACACATATACTTGATAGTGATCATTCGATTGTGTGAGTGAGCGATTCTAGTGCGATTGCATCGTGAGGTTGCATCGAGTGACACTAGGTGGTCGTGTTGCAAACCGGTGGTACTTGTTACTCTTGGAGGTTGCCCTCCTAGACGGCTTGGTGGTGGTCTCCGTCAAAGCCCGCAAGAAGCTTGTCTTGGCGCTTCCGGAGAAGTGCTTGTGAGAGGGTACTTGTGCTCGCCCATGGAGTCACGAAGAGCAACTTTAGTAAAGCGTGTCATTGAGCTACCCTCACTCAGGGGTAGGTTCTTGCGGTGCCCGATGTGTGGGCTTAGCGGGTGATGCTAATTAGTCGCCCGAACCACCAAGTGAGTGGTCGACACAGCGGGACTAGCGTGTTGGCAAACACGTGAACCTCGGGAGAAAAATCATCGTGTCAACCTTGTTCTTCCCGTTGGTTTGCATCACCATTACACAAGCTTGCAATTACTTATATATATCTTAAGCTTGTGTAGTTGCTCTTGTAATTAGATAGCTTGTGTAGCTAGCTAATTACCTTCTTGCTTGTGTAGCATAGAAGTAGCTTCCTTGCGTGGCTAATTTGGTTTTAGTAACCTTGTTAGTCACATTGCTTAGTTTGTGTAGCTAAGTATTTGCGCTCTCTAATTAGGCATTGGTTGCCTTGTTATTGAGCATTGCTAGTGAGCTTAGTTAGCTTTGTGCTTTTGCTTACTAACATGTGTAGGAGCTCCCTTGTTACTTAAAGTACTAGTGGCATAGGTTTGTGTGACCTTGCTCCTAGAATTGTTTAGGAGAGCTCTAGCTAGCCCGGCACCTTAGTTGCTTTATTAGTATCTTTGCAAAGTGCTAGTGAACATATATAGAGGGGTGTAGTCTTGGCTAGACCGATTGTTTTAATTCTGCATTTATATCGGTTAGCCGACGCAATTAATTTTAGAAAAGACTATTCACCCCCCTCTAGTCTGTCATCTCGACCCTTCAACTGGTTCAGGCAGAACGTCCCTACGTTCAGTTTGCTGCTGCTCGTGTTACCGACACTTGGTTTGTATTAGGGGTTACAAACAAGCGAGAGAGGGAAAGGATCCTAAGTCTCTTGTGAAAGGAATGAACAGGTGTTGAGAGCTCGATCGCTGCTCAGCCATGTGCTCGTGTCGTGCTCTTGTGTTTTTATCTCGTGGCTTAGTCTTGTGACGATCTCGATCCCCTTTTCATGGGGTGCCATGCTTCCCCTTTTATAGGCCAAGGGAGAGTACGGGTTACAACAGAGGAAAAGGAGAAGAACCAGAGAGAGAACGCTTCCAGGATCATCGAGTCCTTCCTCTTCATGTGGGTCCCGCCAACCCTATAGAC